CCCCAAAACCCCAAAACCCCAAAACCCCAAAACCCCTAAATAATAATTTTATATAGAATTTATAATTATATATGTTTAAGATGACCAAAGAATGGCCCTGAGTGCTGGCTATCCTGGTTATGTGTAGGTTAAAGTGGGGGTTGGAGAAGAGATGGGCGATTTGGGAATGTGAGGTTTTGGAAGAGGGGAAGGGGGTAGGGGTGGGATTTGGGGGAAGAATGAGGGTTATAGGGGGCTTTGGGTGGTTTTAGGCGGGGTTGGTTAGAGAATAGGTCTGAGTTGTTTTTTTATATTTTTTTGGAAGGAATGGGTGTTTTTGGAGAAATTTGGGATATTATGTTGTTTGATATTTGTTTTAGCAGTTCTGAGTGTTGCTTCTGGCATAAAATGATCTTCTGAAGAAGCGGCTAATGCAGATCCTACTTCTGGAAGTCAGACAGTGTATTCTTACAGACATGTAGGGACAAAATACTCGTTCATTATGGGAATGAAGTACAGTGGAACTTCCAATATGGTTTATATCTATGAATGGGCTTCCATGAACGGAACTGTAGTGGCTGGTAAATGTTTTTACAATTTTCTACAGGTGCAGCAGCAATCATTTCAAAATATGATCCAACCACAAACACTTTTGGCTTTAGCAAAGCTATCGGAACTGTTCTCAAAAACCAAGAAAATTCTTTTGTTGTAAGCTTCAAGGTGTCATAAATAGCTCGTTGAGGGATCCCCAGATTATATGTAAGGACAACATAAATCATGAAATAAGATTGTTACTTTTCAAAATACGAAATATTGCTAATATTGCGTTTGTTTCATCAAGAAATTCATTAGTACCTATACTGAATTTTTCTAGAATATTCTAATTTTGATTTATTGGAGCTTAAATGTTAAAAGTAATTTATTTGGAAGCATGTTTTTAGTTTAGTAAAGAAAATAGATATATTTATTAACAACTCCTTTTCTGCTATCAGTCAGAGCTTTATTTGAAACTTATTAACTTTAATTCTAAATTTGCTGAGATATTTAAATGTAATTGAAAAATAACATTTCGAATAGATATCTTGCAGCTCAATTAGATGGAGGAGTAGATGGAACTATAGCTATAATAAAAATGGATGGAGATACATCCTCTCTCACGATTTATGATGCTTATTGGAGGTAATTCTTTTCATTGATCTTTTTACAACATAAATAAATTTTAAAGGTTCTAATGTTGATTTATTTATAGTTCATCACTAAATTCATTGATAAAACTCGAGGTTGATCCTTCAAACTCGAATGTATTTCACTTACTTACAAATAACCTAAATGTGTGAAAAATAACATTTACTCCTCCTTCACCTCCTTCAGCCCCAACTCTCCAGTGAGTAGCAATCTCAGGTCTTGCTAGTGGATCAACTTATATGAATAAAGTCAGTGGAAATTCCTACTTTCTCTATTCATTCTATAGTTATGATATGAGATTTATCAAATTCGGTAAGAAGAATTACTCAAATACCCCATATTGACTATGAATTTATTTGACGATTATTACTTCTCTTCCTAGAGTCATATTCTTTATTCATTTTGCATTTATTCTATCTCTTTGCCTTCTTATGAACAATCTAATTTATACACTCAAGAGTTTTATAAGGTCTAACTAATTTGATAGCACACAGATTTTGTGCTCTTCTTTGCTTAAAAGCTTTATGGGAGAATCAATTTAAAAGCACTATAAGATATGCATTATTAGTTTTATTCAAATGAATAGATACTTTTTCTATCCTTTCAAATTGTAAATTAAAATAGCTCAATTTTGTTTGGATGCATAAAAATATAATCACTTCTTGAATGCTATTAAGATTGAGGCTTGAAATTTTTCTAAAAATTCAGATTTGTAGTCTTTGAAACAATCCAAGGAACTTCGAAGATTACTCTTCTTGGGTTTAGCTGAATGGGAATATATTTCACATCCATATTATAATTAGTACAATCTCCTTTTATCTGCATTTATGCCTTACAATGTAACTGGATGGTTGATTTTCTGGATTAATACTCCCTCTCCCACCCTCACCTCCACCATAGACATCACAACAGCCTCAGCAGTTGCATCAGCCCTCGACAAAAACGAAACCACCCTAAACTGCCCTGTTTCCTCTTGCTACTACTACTACAGTCCCAGCTACTACGATAGCTCCAATAGCAAGATTTATATCTTTTTCCCATATGGATACTACTGGGATTCTTACTTTATTATTTTTGATGAAACGAATCTTGCAGTGGATCAGGTAAGCTATTTCATTTTATTAAGTTGTTTTTTATTTAAATTATGCGAAAAGACTTTTACTATTGAGTTTTCTATTAGATGAGATACAGTAGCAGACATATACATAGGCCAAGAGATATCACAGTAAGTCAACTATGCAGATTGAGTTTTAAATACTATTTTAGAAATACACTACTCCAACAGGAGTTGAAAAGTAAGCCAAAACACTACAGTGAAAATAACTTTCCTATAGATTGATCATAGCAGTAGATTTAGCCTCAGAAATTGGTTTAATGACATATAATTATACCAATGGAGCTTTTGAGGTAATTTTTTCACCTAAATCTAGTTAATAACCATAACCGGATACTTTTTCACATCAAAGATACAGATAACAGGAGACCAGTATTCTCATCCTATAATGTTTAGAATTTTCCTTTCTTCCGGGAGGATTCCTCCAAAAATAATATCCTCAGCGATTGGTATTCTTCTATTAACTTTTAGACTCGATCAACATGTTGCCTGGATTTGAGTCAGGCCTTAATTCTAATCTCAGCTTTCCCATTATATCAAGTACATCTTATCTAATCCATAGATGCTGCTTCAGCTAATTTTAGTTCTACATCAGCTATAACAGGAGTAACAGCAAACCCAATTCCTACAGGTATTCTTTTTACTAATTGATAGTCAATGTGAACGCACTTACTTACGCAACTGCAGATTTGACTGTAATTAAACAGCTTAAATTAATAGCAAATCACTATCGAGTCTTCAATATCCGATCTTGTTCACAACGTTGATAACTACACATTCGAAATCCCTGTTTCCACTGCAGGAGAATTGACATTTAACAAGACTTGTTCACTCAACAATGTTACTGAAATGAGATATGAGTTCAAGGAAGTTACAGGGGAAAGGTTCCCAAACTTTTTAGGAGAATTTACTCAGGAAGGCAAGCTTGAATATAATACCAAGGGAAAAGTTGAAGAGACTTTTAAGAAAATAAACCCACTGGCTTATAAGTTTAATTATGTTACTTACGCACAGGTTTCTTCAGGAGGTAGAATTTTAGAAGTTTTATGGTTTAGGAGATGAACCTTTGGGAATACAACTCATAACACTTAATATTGTGGAGTGTAAAGTAGAGTATTGAGATGTTTGAACAACAGGTGATCCATCTAAGTGAGATGAGTGAGAGACAGGGTATTCTCTAGATGCCAATAATGCTTGAGTTAGAGATCCTATGAGCGAAGACGCCAGTCTTTCCTCAACATCAAACAAAGTGGCATCAGGTTTTAGCACTGGAGTTGCTACTTCGACTGCATTACTAAACCTGTCAGCCCCAACTGCTGTCTGGGCACTTGCTAATCAGCTTCAAATCCTCTTGACACTTGTGCTTACAGGAGCTTATTTACCAACAAAGATTGAAGATTATATCTCTGGGCAAACCTTTGCTTCATTTAATTTTGATTTTATTCCAGTGTTTGATATTCCAGTTGTCAAAATTCCGTTGGAGGCCTTAGATTTCAACCATACTGATATCAAAATGAAAACTGTGGGAGTTGTCTCTGGAAGCTCTTTTGTCAATAATATTGGATTCCTTATCACAATTCTAGCATTAATATTCTGCCATATGATATTGTCTTGTCTTTGAAGACTAAGACCAACTGAAGACGAAAGATGCTGAAGGAGATGCTATAGAGTTACCCATTCTAAGTTTTTAAGAACTATGAAGTGGGGGATCTATATTAGACTTCTCCTTGAAGCTTACATGATTCTGATGATTTCTTCACTTGCAGAATTTTCATTTAATCGTGAATTTTCAGGCTCCCTCTTTTCTACTCAGAATTTATGAAATATTGGGTCAGCCTTGGTTTCTCTTTGACTTATCATTGTTTGTATAATCTTCTTATCAAAGTCGATATATTATATCAAAAGGAAAACAAAAGAAACAGATAGAGATAAGCACCATTTTATGGAGTTTTACTCAGGACTCAAATCTGCAAACAAAGCAAGGTTCTACATATGCTTCTTTATGGTAAAGAGAACAATTATTGCTGTTACTGTGGTATACTTGAAACAAGTCTTACCCCTTTGGCACACTTTGGTTGTTATACTACTGTTACAGTTTGCAAACCAAGTTTATTTGCACAAGGTTAGGCCTTTTGAGGAACTCCAGGATAATGTAATAGAAACCTTGAATGAAATCTATTTTACGTTCTTCCTAATAGTTCAAATCCAATTGCAAAAAAAAGAAGACTGGGAAGATCAAACAGCGACAATAATGTTGTTCATCCTTACTTCCAATAATTTTATTGTTACAATCATTCTACTTGGTAAGTTGTTTTGACTGATTCTTATAGTCTTTTTCTGTATTAGCTGCAAAAGGTAAGTTTTATGCCAAAACCTTAGAAAATGTAAAGCAAAGTCGAAAGAAGAGAAGAAGAAAGTAATTGACCTTGCAAACCCAACGGTACATTTCTACTAACCCTACAGGGTAATGATGGTGTATCTCTAAACCTCCAACAATTACAATCTCAATTCAGAATCGGATCAAGTGTCAACTCAATCTCTCACTTAAAACATAGATCTCACTTACACTTTGACTCTCAAAAGTATGGTTATCTAAATCATAGAAACTATTTGTTCAGAAAGCCGAAACTTTTTAACTTTAATGCTCCTAAAAAGCTCGATCGTGAAGGTAAGGCATCCTCACAATGCGTAGAACTTTACAAAAGGAATTTGAATTACAATTTGAAACACATGATTGAAGAGAAGAAGAAAGAGGAAGAAGACCAGTTTTAGATAAGTTAATATTTGGATGGTGGTTCAGTGAGGTTTGGATGTGTTGGGGTTTTGGGGTTTTGGGGTTTTGGGG